AGGATGATCTTGAGTTTGATGCAATGGTGTTGGAGGACATGGACCCAGAAGATCGTCGTGAGTTTGACCAAGTTCAAAAAACAATTGAGAAACATCAGGCTCGTGTGAAGCAGAAGGAATGGGCAGTAGTCAGAAAGGCCATGACGCCAAAGGCCAAGGCAAAGGCCAAGACAAAGGCCACGTCCAAGGCCAAGACAAAGGCCAAGTCCAAGGCCAAGACAAAGGCCAAGGCCAAGGCAAAGGCAAGCAACAAAGCCAACATAATAATGGGGCAAAAATTGAAGACTGCCAAATCAAGCAGCTCCAAAGTGGCCAGCAAGGCGAGCAGGAAGATTTGGCATGGCGCACTGAAGAAGAAAAGACAAGACTGCCCTGCTCTTCGCGAAGGTGTGAAGTCCCTGAAGAAGTTGAAGCTGTGACTCCGAATCCATGGCAGCGGCGGGTGGTTCGTAGAACTCACTCAGTGTCGTCGTGCCCTGAATCTGCGAGGCCTGCTGCGCAGGCCGAGGCTGCTCCAGAAGAGAGGCCAGGCAGTGTGGCGGAGGAAAACAGCACGGCTCCTCCAGAAGACAAGCCAGCCAGTGTGGCGGACGACGGCAACAGGCTGAGCGCGCAGGCGGACCTGCCACCTGCCGGCCTCCAAGCAAATCGACAATTAATTGGCACAGTGATGAGCCATTGCCAAGTTCTGGGGCAAGTGTCATTGCTGCTTCCAGCAGTGCCGATGATTTGGCGATGGCTGATGGTGCCGGTGCACAATCAAGTCGCCCTGGCCACCATGGACCCCGGCAACCTGCTGTGGTTGACCCGCTTATCTGGACTGAGGTCTCCTTCAATACTTGCCACAAGCAATGTGGGCATTGCAAGTCTCATCCAGCGCCAGGGGGCCGAGACAAGCCAACCTGGATCATGAGGTGCTACGACTGGGAGAACGGCGGGCAAATCATAATGACCATTGTGTGTGTGTGTGTGCGCGTAATAATAGTCTTGAAGTCTTAGTTCTGTGCTGTGGTGGCGCTCTGCCAGGCGAGTGGCCATCAAAAGGCCAATTGAGGAGGACAAGCGCTTTAATGACTGAGCTACAGGTTAAGGACTGGATCCAGTCTTCCAAAACATGTGGCTGTAGACAGAAGGCATAATTCTTTGCTCGTTTGCGAGTTGCGCACGACTTGCTAAAATAGCGAGAACCTCTGGTGTGCTGAGTGCAAAGTATCTCATCATGTCATTGGCCTGCTTGCACTTGTGCGGGAATTGCTCGTGGCAAAACAGGTTGTGGCGGTTCGGTTCAAGTGCTGTCAGTTGAAAGCGCAGACTCAAGTGCTTCCCACTTTTGCTAAACTCGCAATGTCGCTGCTGGGCTTAATAATGATTGTATGCATTAGGTGTTGCTGTCATCAATTTAGGCAAAGTGATGGTGCGGGGTTCGGGCGCACACTATCTAAGGCAGACGCTATGGAAATGTGAGGATGCTGGTAGTTTTGGTACTATTAAAATTATTGAGTCTGAGTCGCCGTGCACAAACAACATGGCCAATGACACTGCCATTGATGATGACGAACACCAGGAGGCCACATGCCAGGAGGGCACCTTGAGTGAACCCCAAGATGTGATTCCCACAAGAATACGACCACGCTCTTCGACTCCAGACACGGGAGATCTGCGCCCAGTGGTGCTTCAAGAAGTGCTTGCTGACCAGATGCAGATGCCCTTACCAACTGCCAATCGCAAGGTCAAGTTCATCGAAGGTGACTGGTTTGTTCGGATGCCCGTGAGCTACAGCACATCGTGGTTTTTTACTGCCGGGCTGGAACTATTACTTTGGCTGCGCGAGATCGTGTTCTTTGGCGCACTGCGTGCGGCTTAGCGCACCATTGTGGCCGTCAGTGTTCATGTGCCTGTGACAAGCTTGCTCGTGCATATTCAATGCGTCATGGCCTCGTGCTGGATTGATCTTCAGCCAATAAGACAAGCAGTGTGTTGCTCCAGTACAGAGCGGAGCTGCAACTTTTAACTGATGGACAAACTGCTTGACTCGACTGTGTGCGACTTTGGAAAACAGCAACAGGGCTGCGCAAGTGAGTTTAGATGCGTGAGTGCGGAAGCTCACTTGAGGCCCAGCAGTCAATGGAACAAGAGGAAGAAAGAAGTTGTCGCTCTATAAATATCCTGACTTCATTTGAGTTTATGGCAACAGCCGTGCGCGCGCATGACATCATGAATGACATGAACCATGACCCATGTTCAGGCTGCAAACATTCCAGTCATGCTTGAGATGCGGTTTTGCGGCTCAAGCCTGTCAGTAGCAGTTGACTCAACGTGCTTGATTGAGATTTTGTGAACCATTGACATTGAAGCCTCATGTCAACTGGCTCGCCTGCAGATAATAAGAAGCGTCGGACAGTGACAGTGGTCGATTCTCCTGCAAGTCAGACAGTGTGTCACACCGAATCAGAATCTTCAGAAGTTGAAGCCAGTGCGACAGTGTGTCAAGTCAGGGAGACAAGAGAGCCTGAACTTCCTCAGCCTGACTGGACTGACGCTCAGCCACGGGACTGGGAAGTTGAAATGACTGAGCCGGAGCTTCAGCAGGGGAATGACAATGACGACGTCGAGCAGTCAGATTTATCGGAGCTGGACTCGGAACTGGAACGTGAACATAGCCACCCCTGTATTGCAGAATGTATTCTCACAGACGTGTCTGTCAGGGTCGAGGACCGTGTGGGCATGACTGGTGGTGTGACTATTATGTGGGTTGGGCATGAAGCGTTTGTTGAGATCTGCGAGTCAATCGGGAACCTGTGACCTTTGTTACTGGCATGCGTGGCGCATTGCTCATGTTCATCAACGAAAACCGCCAGACAATGCATTGCTCCCATTGCTCGAACATTGATTCAACTTATGTGCTTGACAACCCCATTGCAACGATCTGTGCTGACCGTGACCCGTGCCGCTGTCCTTGCCACCGAGCCAGCGACGTCAAGAATGAATATGATGATGGACAATGGAATGGTCCAACGTTGCTGGCGCTAACGTGCGCTCATGATGACTTGCGACTCACTGATGCGACAATAAAAAGAATCATCATTATAAAATTGAGTGACACACACTTACTGTGCATGTTGTATGTTCTTGCATGTGTTTGTCCTTGTTTGCATTTGTGTCATGTATTTTTGCATTGTTTTTGCACTTTTGTTGGTGCATTTTTTGTACTTTGTTGCATTTTGTTGCATTTTTTGCATTTTGTTGCATTGTTTGTATTTTTGCATGTTTTTGCACTTTTTTGCAATTTGCATCTTTTTGCATCTTTTTGCACTTTTTTGCATCTTTTTGCACATTAGATGCAAAAATAAGATAATTTGAGATAATTTGAGATAAATTGAGGTAAGGTCTAAACCCCATGGATCTGGGACCCTTAATATAATCAGTGATTGAACCCGAAACGCAACCATCGCCAACCATTCCATCAAATGTGCCCTTTGCGTGATCAACCGTTGACAAACCGCGTATGTCTTGATCTGCAAGACGTGCTTCATTGGCCATTGGATAGATCAAATGCTAAGGTGTCAAACAATTGCTATCCCTCAAACGGATCAACAAATTGAAAGGTACGGCAACATGCTGAAGGGCTGGAACAATCGGTAATGACCGTGAGTGAACGCCAGCCAGTACTCTCGTGTTGGCCAAACTTGTTTGGTGAAGCAGGGATGTCTTAGATCCAAGTTCCACTTGCTGCAGCCTGTACTGCATGGTGCTTGCTCGCAAGGTTTTCATCTCGGGGCCATTTTGGCTCAAGCGCTAACGTCCCTTGACCCTGTGTCTACCCTCAGCACGATCTCGGCTTTCATTTTTCAAGATGGAATACGCCATGGATGCGGCAATGGATGCGCAACAGGAAGCCAAGACGGAGGGCTCCGTGGACGTGGGCATGGAGGTAAAGGTGGAAGCCCCCGGGCCAGGACGGCTGCGTCTGACGCTCATTCCTCCTCCCAGGCAAACCCTGCCAGACAACACCTTGTCGACCAGAAGAAGGTTGTGAATGCACTTTTTCGAAGAGCTGGAGGACAAGCTGGACCTGGGACGCTTGGGCTTGCAGTGGTTCGGTGACCCGGACAAGGCGCTGGGCGGATCTGCAGGCACGGATATGCGTGTGCTCATGGAAGATCTTGGGCTGCGAGACGGTCGGAACTTTGCGGTCCTGCGGCAAATGGTGTGAACGTGGAGGAATACCTAAAAAGAATCTGGGACGGCGCGTCAGACAGCGGACCCAATCCAGGCGCTCAAGGTCAGCATTGCGGACCATTCAAGAACGAGCTCCCAAAGACAAAGCTGTCAAGGATCTGGATGACATCTTCGACGACCTAGCAGCCCCCACCAAACCAACCGTGCATGGTGGTTCTGTTCATTTCCCAGGACCAAGTTTTGTTGGTTTGCTCCTTGCTACTCTTCATGCTCGCTGAGTACCGCCGCCTCGAAGTACGCTCTGCAATGAAACCACTCTCCACCATGCCAGGAGATGCTGTTGACAGGATCTCTTGCTGGCTTTACTCCAAGATAAAACCCTGCTCCACAGCTGCTTTCCCGACTTGCAGGACCGGGTCACATGGTGGAGACTTCTGGTCAACGGCTTCTGATCAGGGGCCTTGCTGGTTCACCGGTTGTCTGAACTGGGTTGCAGCTCACAGTGCTGCTTGTGAGCCTTTTTCTATGAAGAAGTCACGTGCCATGTGTTTGGCGCAGCAAGACAACTGTGGTTGAAAACCACAGCTGAACGCATCTCCACACCAAACAGGAATGATGGATTTGACCGGCACACTTCCTCCTGACCAAACGTGAGCGCAAGCAATCCCGTACAAGCAAGCGAACATATGTGTGTTGGGGCACACTCATTCGGCCATTCTTTAGCAGGCTTCAAGTCCGAAGGGCTTGCTGGATGATTTGTTTTGAAACAAGCGGACCTCGAAATTTGCGGAGGGCTTTGCGCCAGCCTCATGGCTTGGCAGGCGCAGTGCATTCAAAAGATACGAATGTTCGAGCTGATCAAGGCGCGTCTCACAGTAGCATTCCAAGCCTGTCCAAATCGACTGAGGCGGCCTATGGGTTTGAGCCCATGCCAGAGGCTCTTGCATTCCGTGGCTTCCAAATTTGTTGCATTCCTTTTAAGCTTCGACCGCTTTATCGGCTTTACGGTGCTGAAGTCTTTATGGATCTATGGCAGTTTTCGAACGGACTGGCGCGAAGTATTGATTTTTCGTGGCAGGAGATGGGCTTGCTCGTCAACACCTTTCGCTGTGAGCTGAGGGCGCAGCCAAAAAAGCATGTCTTGGTTGGTTATCCGCACTTTGCGTGGCTGTGTCCGTAACATTTACAAACATGCTTGCATGCTTATGCTTGCTCCGAGATCTAGAGGATGATGCAGGCGATCTTTCGTGGCCGGAGCTAGAGGCCATGGTCCGCAACATGTGATTTGGCAGTGCTCCATGATCGCACAGTGGTGGCAGTGGAACCAGCGGTGGTCGGCGTTAGGCAGGCTTTGATGAGATTCGCGAGATCCTGTTCAGCCCTTGGGAGACACGTGGGTGAGACATTCTGTAGTCACCAAGGTCAGGCGTGTCGAAGAACGCAACCGAGTGCCGCATGGACACGCTCAATCATGCCTTGATTCTTGGTGAGAGTGCGATTGGCGTTGCTGCCTCCAGTGCTTGCTGCAGTCTGACAGCACCAGAAAGGTACACATCTGTTGATGACTACCGGACTGATGTGATGAAGTCTCGAGCCACAGAGAAGCCGCTAGATTCAGACAAGTGTGGCAAGCAAGGCATCGCCGAATGATGAAAGACCCCATGGACAAATTCAAGGCAGTTTTAACCTTCCTACTACCGGAATGGTGCATTCTGCACCAGGCTCCTATGACGGAGTCAATGTCCATCGGTTGGCACGAAGAAGAGGCTCATCCGACCTGCAGCGATTGCGCTTCCTGATGATCAGAACTCTTGTTCAGTTGTTTTGATCAGTAAGCGCATGGAAGTAGATTGTGCAAACGTGTTTAACAAGGTTTCTGCTCAAATTCTGGACTGGCGCCGGCAAGTGCGCTGTCTCGCAACCGTGGGCTCACCGAACTAGCTTGCGAGCCAACTAGCTAAGCTAGCTCGCCAACCAGTTTTGCAACCAGCTAGCTGACAGACCTGGCTAGTCAACTCCAAGTTCCAAGTGCAAGCTAATTAGCTCGCAAACTAGTTGACTAGCCTATGAACTTGCTGACTTGCTAGCTATAGCCGGTGAACGAGCTGACTTGCTAGCGAACAATGTGACCAGCCAGCTAGCCAAGTTAGCTAGCTAGTCTTGAAGCGGCTGCCCCCTCAACCAGAACTGGAACCAAAACCTAAGCCCCCCCATCCAGGTTTTGCTTTCGCACCAACTTTATTGCTTAGGTTCTGGTTTAGTGTCAACTCGGCTTAGGCCCCGTGCGGATTGGCCAGGCCAAAATTTAGCAGACGCGTGAGTTTCGCAGTTTTCTGGGATAAGTGTGTGGCAGTGATGCATCCCTACAGTTGAAGAACGCAGGTCAAGAAGCGCCAGGGCATAGTTTAACAAGTTCTTGGGGCTGCAATTCACGCTGGTCCAGACGCATTCAAAACACGCGTGACACGGCGAAGTACGGATTTTCAATTTGGCATCTAATCGCTTGAATTAGTGAGTGTGGCAGCGTGCGGCAGGCCAAGACATGTTGCGCAACGTTTTGCACGGCGCCTGGCCTTGCAAGTTTTTACACTTGGTTGTGTGGTTTAGCGCCCTCGCAAGTGGCCACAGGGCCCCCGCCCCACCCCGCCAAACCACACAACCAACCACGAGCCTTAGCTTTCCAAGCTCGAAAGATATAGGACTGTCCGGAACTTCCCACTTCTTGTCAAGGGTTTAGAAAGGGGGTTTATTTTTTAGTTTTTTTTTTTCGTTTTTTGTTTTCAGGGTGGGTGGCTTTTCGGCTTTTGGCTTTTGTGGCTTTTACGTGGGTTTTTGCGCTTGTGGCTTTTCACCCCTAATTGAATCATCACTTTTCGATCATCGTGCGACCGCTAGCTTTTAAGATTCTTTGCCCCTAATTTTCGATCATCTTGGGGGGGCTGCTGCCCCCAACCCCCCCGCTGGTTCTTTATATATAGTTTTTTGGCCCTTTCTGAAGCATCACTTTTTCGATCCTCCTGGTGGGGCTGCCGCCCCCCCCCCCACCCGCTACTTTTTAGACTTTGCCCTTAATTGAATCATCACTTTTTCATCGTGGGGGCGGCTACCGCCCCCCCAAACCCCCCTCGCGCCTTTGATTGAATCATCGCTTTTCAATCATCATGCAGAAGGCTGCTGCTCCCCCCCAAGCCCCCGCTGCTTCTTAGATTTTCTCGCCCCTAATTGAATCGTCACTTTTTTTGAGAACCCCCCCCCTGTGTTTTTGCTTCGCATGTTGACCCTGTAACATCCATCACAATTTTGGCTCAAGGCCCCTCTTGTATAATAGGTACGCAGTATTCATTCTGCAGCCATTGCAAAAGGAGAGCTGCAGAGCGCCTTACAGGAATAATCCACAGATCACAGGACCTCCATTCTCAGTTCCTCCACTGGGACTCTCTTGCAGAATAGATCCAGGGACCACCACAGGGCTTCATGGAAGCCTATTCAAGCGTCGGCCGATCATCCGGCTACACTGAAAAGAAGCTCAACTTATCGATGACCGCCAAGCAGCCGCCGTCGTACGACGGAAGAGTCAGCTGGTTTAGCTATGAGAGGACCAAGAGCCGTCTCACTGGAGACGCCCACATGTACAAGGCAGTCCTCCAAAATGACCTCTTGCAAGATCCTGACGAAGGAGTCAACTATGTCAAGAACACGCTGAAGAAGTTCTTCCTGAAAGGGTCGACCAACGTGTACTTGTACAGACTTCTCAGAACACCGAGTTCCTCAAATTCACATCCAAATTTGAGATTCTCTTGATGAGATTGAAGGCAGCCTGGATGGACTTGATGCCCGCACATACGCCACAGTCACCAGAGTTCATAGCATCAGTACAAGAGTGCCGCGCGCCAGCAAGCAGCTCTCCAGATCTGCTACAAATCGCCAATCCGGAGGTACTCAGGCAGTACCTCACCGGCATGCAGACAAGGCGCAAGGACGCATTTCCCATCAGCGACAACCTCATTGCACAATTTTTCATACTCCGTGAATTGTCAGATCAGCAGAGAGAAAGATTGATCAGTGCAATGCGATTGAGAAACATCTCGCTTGAGAACTACACCTACGAGATGATGAAAACGCAGTACCACGACCTCTTCATCACGACCAGAACATCCATCCAAGATCCATCCATCCGACCTCCCGGAGAAAATCGGAGTAATACCTTCTACATCCTGGAACAAGGAGAATACGAAGGTGAAGAAGGTTGTGGGTGGAAGACAAAGAAGGACTGGAAGGTTTCATGTCAACCAAGACATTTTGGGTATTGGAGGAGAACGATGCGTTCATTGCGGGAAAGGTGTCTGGGCGGAATTCAGATTCAAGACGAGAAAAGGAAAAGGAAAGTCAACAATCATGGAACGCCATCATCGCTTGTCCTGCGCTGGGTGTCTCATGAGATGGGTACCCGCCTTGTTCACTCCAATGCCATGATGGATCCCAATCTTGATCTGTCCAACCGGCATAGGTAGGGTTTGTGGATGGTGCAGTTTGCTGGATGGCGGGCTGCTCCTCTGTCTTCTCTCTGCGATGGCTGCGAACGTTTTGGATTTTCCTCTGTCTTGTCCGCTTTTTCCTTTGCTGTTGTCATAGGATGGATAACCTTTGTTTCCATCATAGGGATATTGGAATTTTGATTTTCCTTTCTTTCCCTTCTTTCCTTTGCCTTTTCCCCAATATGCCTGGTCGTAGGGATCCTGATACTCTGGCCATATTGGCCTTCCCGCCAGAGCTACCTTTTCGAAAGGGTTTGAAGCCACCTCGTTGGTGACTGCCCTTTTTGCTCGCATATGAGCAGCATGAGAAGGACGCCGTCCACGAGAAGCAATCCGATACAGTTTCGGAGCAGTCAATGACATGGTGCCTGTCATCAACCCGCTGCACAGTGATGTACCAGATCCATCGGCAGCTGGCATGCAATCCAGCGTTTTACCCAGGCCATCGAACCCATGAAAGACCTCATCTCCTACTCGTACATCCCGGCCGAGACCAAGTCCAGTTTTGCAAATGGAGAGACAGCCAAGGTAAACTGGACATTGCGCCTCAGGTATCATACGACACCTCCATGCAGCACCAACATCGATATCCTGAACAAGGCGCTGTGCCGATCCTCCTGAGCATCAGTCACCTGCACATGACCATCGAGCACGCACCTCAATGTGACAAGATCACATGTAAGGCTTTTGGCATGAACCGTCAAGCGTTGCCAGCATCCGGTGCAGGACATGCGCTCGTCGATCTCGCTGGAGTAGCAAGAGTGAAATTTCACGGAGAGATCGCCATCAAGGGCCTCACCAACTACGTTTACAGCATCCATTTCCCCTTGAGGGAACACCTAACAAGCGAACAAGTCTGTGCATCCAAGGAAGCCGAGGCAAAGGAAGAGATAGCGACTCCAAAAACTATTGGTTCTCTCAAGCAGGATCACTGGATACTCGACAAGAAGACACCTCGCAAGGCGTTGTTCACACCAACGGGAGTGAAAGAGTGTCCAGTTAATCCTGACAACATCAGCCGAGAGCGCACAACGGAAATCATTGATGCATCCGAAGGTGGAGATCCAGAAATCCTTGAAGACAATTGGAGACTTACATCCCAGGCAAACAAACCATTGATCAACCTGTGACACGGTAAGACCATTTTCACCTTCGGGGACGACTCGCTGAAGGACAAAGAATCCGGTTCAGGATCGGCAGCAGACAGGATCATCGACAAGACGGGCCAGTCGACTCTTGAGCCAGATCCTGCAACACCATCCAAGGAAGAACCAACGTCACTACCGCTTGCCTTAGGCAGAATTCATCAGGGATTGTCCAAACCAGAAGAGCTGAAAAAGCTGCACCTTTTTCTCTTCTTCTTCCTTTTTCTTGTTTCTTTTTTTCTCCGTCATTCTTCCTTTCTTCCTTTCCTTTCTTCCTCCCTTCTTTCCTTCTTTCTTTCTTTCTTTCGTTTGCTTGTTTTTGTGCCGTTCTTTCTTTTGTTTCTTCTCCGTCTATCTATCTGTCTATCTATCTATTTATCTCCACCTATCTATCTATCTATCTCTCTATCTCTCTTTCTATCTATTTATCTATCTCTTTATCTATCTATCTATCTACTATCTATCTTCTGTTTGTTTATCTATCTATTTATCTCTCTATCTAATTTTGTATGTCTCTTTCTTTCTATCTATCTATTTCTCTATCTCTCTTTCTTTCTATTTATCTATCTCTCTATCTCTTTCTCTATCTCTTTATATCTATCTATCTATCTCTCATCTACTCCTGCGTATCTGTCTATCTATCGATCTGTCTATCTTTCTATCTATCTATCTCTCTATGTGTCCCTCTTTCTACCTATCTATCAATCTCTCTCTCTCTATCTATCTATCTTTATCTATCTATCTGTATATCTATCTATCTATCTTTCTCCCTATCTCTCGTGTATTTATCCATCTCTCGATCTCTCTATGTATCTATCTTTCTATCTCTCTACCTCTTTTTCCATCTGTTTGTCGATCTATCTCTCTATCTATCTATCTATCTATCTATCTTCTGTTTGTTTATCTATCTATCTACTTATCTCTCAAATAGTCAAACGGCAAAAGCAGTCATTTTTGTCCTCAAGTGGACTCAATCGACTAGGGGGTGATGTTACTTGGCCGTCAACCGTCTCAACCGATTCTTCCGACTGTCGCGGTGCCATCGCCACCTGCAGTTCTGACGAGAAAACGATGATGAAGAGCTTG